AAAGATGGTTCTGTTCTTCATTCACTTCTGACTCCAGCATGATGAACAAGAGAGCTTGGCCAGTGGAGGGGACTGATGTAAAGCCTCCTGGTCAGTGTTTGACCCAACCCTTTGCACTCTGAACTCCCCATTTGTTCTCATAGTGACATTGACAGAGATGGGTGTTACAGGTACTCTCTTCCTGTCAAAAATATTTAATACCTTTGTAATTGCAAAAAAACAAAACAAACAGGAAATAAAAGAAGAAATCCAAAGCTTTCAAAGTGCAGCTTCATTGCTTGAGAAGTACTTCACCAGAGAGTGTATATTATGAGTGATAGTTTCAGTGAGGATACCAATAGATTGAGTCTACACATGACTATCTAGAGGAAAAACAAATAAACAAAAAAGAATCTCCACCATGCTTTTATAAAGGAAAAGCAATGAGAACAAATTTGCATCCTTTTTGTATTGTTTTTGAGACATGGTCTCATTCAGCCATCTAGGCTGCCTTGAACCTCATTCTGTGTCCAGACTACCTCTAATCTGCAGCAATCCACATTCCTCATCTTCTCTAGCACAAGAATTACACATAGGGCTGTCATACCCAGCTTAACTACTGTCCTTTAACCATTTAACAAGAAGATCTGTTTACATCAACCTGAGACATGTGTTTAGCCTATCGCCATAGTTATATTTTGTAATTTTGTTAAGTTGTAAAAATTTTGGACCCTATTAATAACCCCCAAAAGATAAATTATTCACAACTGAGTCATGTTTTCAGCATCTTCCCTCTGGTGAGAAAACCTGGAGATTAAATTGTTTCTTCCAAGAGCTCCATCTTTAGTTTCATTGCATTTTATGTATGTTCCATGTTCCTAATGCCAGCTGTTATCCTGCATCTACTTTATTTTGCTATCCTTAGAAGCTTTCTATAGTGATCCTTCATCATTTGTATTATGGACCAAGTCTTTTCTCTAAAAATAAATACATAAAATGGACATTGGAAATTGTATATGTTCATGGTCTTTTGAAATGAGCCAGTTAATGTTCCTTGTATTGCATGTAAGCTCTAGAGAGATGTTGAACAATGGGTAAGATTAAATACAATTAAAAAATATAAAATTCTTAATGTTTTAAAAGTAAATATCACCATAAATTTTGAAACCAGTAACCCATCTTATTTCTTGTTTTCTAGTTTTATAACATCTTTGTAGCATATTATTTGAATAATATGTTTCACTACATAAAAGACACACATATATATGTTTAATATAATACCTAATATATATTTTGTGCATGTCCATAATTCATCAAAGTGGAACCACTAATAGAACACTTATTATTCCCTGGTTTTAAAGCAAGTGCATTACTTATAATATACTTAAATTACTTCATTCCGTACACAGCTTCTCGTGATAATCATAAAGTTAGGGTGAAAATAGTTAGCCCTTCCTCGTAATCCTGAACGTCTTGAACTCTTTTACACACAGTATTAGAAGCAGGGTTGCACCATTGATAAAAACATGATCAGCGAAGTGCTGTGCCGTGCTCGTCTCATAGTTCAGGCGCTAGGAAGCTGAAGCAGTAGGATCACCTGAGCCTGGAGCTCCCTGATTATAAGACACAGCACTCTCTCTATTCTACTTAGCATTCGGTTCACCATATTACAAGTATGCAGAAAAACTACTGATTTTTTGCCTAGTATTAGTACAAAATAGGAAAGTAAATGTGCATTTAGATGTAGCAAATACCATCTGATTTTCCACCTATTATGTTTACAAAGAATGGCATGTCATTTGATTTCAAATTACCTTTTCATTAAAGAAGATGCTGCATGAACTTACTGGCATCTGATGTTCAGGGTGTCGGAGTTTATGACCTCCTCTATTCAGCTACCTTTCTTACAAATTATCTTACATTTCCACTCTTGTCTTTACTACCTTCTCTATTTTGTAAATTGTTTTTACTTTCAGTCATTTAATTGACCTGAGGTATTCACTCATAAGCCGTGTTTATGTTCTTAGTTTAGTTGAATCTCAAAGATCTTCTCTAACAGATATTGAGTTCATTCAGGCCCTATCAATTATATTACTACAGATAGATTCAGTCAAAGCTGTAAGGACAAATTGCATGTATTCACGTATTTCAAGTGTCCTTTTCAACTCATTATGAAAGAATATATCATTTATTTTCACTTATCTTATTTAGGACCTTTTCTGTAACCTTCCTGCACAACTAAATCTATGCTTTCTTGTTATATGACATTGGGCACATTTTAAATAACAAATTGATTGATTGTATAGATCAGTAAAAATCCAGAAAATAGATAAAGATTTGAGAGAAATGTGGATTCCCCCCCTCTTTGGAAAGTACAAAAGGAAGCTTACTATGTATGATTTATTTTCTGGACACAATGATCCACTTTACTTTCTTCTAATTGTCCCTGGGCTTGGCAGTGTCGACATGATTCCACAGGACTATGAAAACTGGAACCAAGATTCCTTGCTTTATTTCATTGTACAGATATATGATGGGATTTTGTGTGATGGGTATTGTGAAAACACTGTAGAAACAGTAAACACTACCTAATTTTGACTTTGTGCTGCTTCAGAGTTACAAAGAAAACTATTCATTGAATAGGTAACTTCGAAGGCTAATGCCAATTTCCAAGGTGTGTGTTTCAGGAGCTGTGAAGTATGCAGTCAGATATTCTAACTTGAAGATATCATGGAATGCCTTCTGAAAAGCAATGTTTTTGCCAAGATTATTCTATTAATGAGTGATATTTGGCTAGAAAAGATGGGGATAAGGTAGGCAAGGGAGAGTGTCTCAAAGGAGAGTTGAAGGAAGACTTGTGTATCTCAAGGAATGATGACCATAAGATGGAGCTTAAATGAAGCAGTGGGTATAGTATGGGACCTGAGAGTGTACAGATACATCACTAAAGAGGGAAGAGTTTGTCCCAAAGACAATGGTAAAGGTTTTGTGGTATGCTTAAGTATTAGTTGGTGTGTGGAGAATTAGTTGAATTTATTGCAGAGAGATACAGGAGGATGTTAAAGATGGTCAGAGTAATTAAGAGGGATGTACAGAACTGGTTTTGGATGATGCCTGAGGAGATGTGCGTTACCACAGACAATGGGAAAACTCTAGCATAAAAATCAACTTAAGGAACCATGTAAATCATAAAGTCGTGAGGCAAGTTATGCCACTGAGAACTGCTATGAATATGGGCTTATAAGGAAGTCCATAGAGAAAAGGATATGTGTTTTGAAAAATATTTTATAGTTACCTTTCAATTAGGCATGTAAAAACATAATCATTATACAAAAATCACATAGTTCCTCAATAGTCACATTGCCCTAGGACAGGAAATATTAAGCTTTTGCATGTTTCTATAGTATACATATACACACACACTAAAAGAACACAAACTATGAATACATTTTAAAAATAGAGTTGGAATTTTTTGCTATGTATATCACTTTTTAAAAGATAACCAGTTTATCAAAAATTAATTTCTACATTATGTAATACAACTTTACAACATTTAAATGATTACATGGTCTAGAGAAACACAGCTCAATGTTTTCATTAAATATATATTTGGCTCAACCGTGTTTGCATTTTAAATTTAATATTAACGTGTGAAATATTTTCAGTCACATTGACATTTGAATAATAGGCTCACTGAGATGATCTAAATGATAGTTTTTCCCTCTTTTTCCAAAGGTGTATGAGCTATGTTAGGGTAGGTTTACTATGGTAAGTATAATACATCACAACAATAGCATAGAAAGTGAAAGCCCCTTATAAATAATTATTAATCTGAGGGGAGGGTGTACCTGTTTTCTTCCCTAGCAAAACATCTCAGTCATTCTATACAGGGAACACTATAATTTAAGGTTTCTTTCAACTCTTAATCCTTGCTCAAGCTATTGCTAAAATGTCCCGCCTCCAAATCCTGTTCTACCTAATTTTAATGAAATAGAAAGACTTTTCTTCCACTATACTCTACTGAGCACTGACAGCGGCACAGACTCCTTTTAAGTGCTTTAGAGATCAAGAAAAGACTCGTCTATTTGCAAGCTTGATTCAAGGTCAATGTGAACAGTGTTTCTAGCAGACAATGTTTTCTATTCAGAGATATAAAGCTCTCATTTAGTTCAGATCTGTAGCTGAGAGACAGTGTTTACAGCTTCATTTGTCCCTTAAGCTCTTACACCTTTCCAAAAGAGAATAACTTAATAGTAAGTGGGTATTTGAGTATACAAAGACTGAAATATAATTTCTTCAAATGCTACCTGATTCAGCATGTTAGGCTTTAAGTGCAACCGAAGGACACCCAACTCAAAGTCACTCTTGTCAAAGCCTTTCCTAACTCACATTTGGATAATATGAGATGTAATCGCCTATGAAGCACAAGTGATTGATAAACCAGTTTTGGTGGAATGCACAAGAACTGTTTGGACATTGTGGTTTTCTTAAATGAAATGATAAGGGAATATGTGGTCTTAATAGGGAATAAAGTATGCTCGGCCTATTTGAGATGCTTCGGTGTACCGAACACGGTGTTAAGTTTGGTGTTCATAAATTACTAATCTGGAATAAGAGGTTGAATGTATTTTGAAAACTTAAACCTGTTGTAGCTGAACATGTTTAACTAGTTAATAAGAAACATCAAAAAGACAAAACCCTGAGGTCAAGGGTCATTTTTTTGTAAAGCGATTATATGCTGTTTAAATGGGTTGTTCGGGTCTGTCTATAACATAAGTTTAATAACCTAGCTCAAATGCAGATTTCTAATTTTCAATTAACATAGGAATAATTTTGTTTGCTAAAATAAAATAAATGAATGAATGACAAGTCTGAGACATGAGATGTTCTAGGTAGAACTTTTTAAAAGTCCAAATTTCAAAAAATCATGTGGCAACTGTATAGCTCAAGCTTTAAGTATTAACTTTTAACCTTTGACCTTACAGATTTTAACCAATGAAATGTCTCTTTAAACTTTAAAGGAAACAATGATAACGAGCGCCTGGCGATTGCTAGACAGCGAATTCCATATCGACTTGGTCGAGTAGTTGATGAATGGCTACTCGACAAAGGTAAAAACATTGATTAAAACTTCAAATAAAACAATAATTTGAACATAACCAAGTAGTACTTCATTGTAACACTAATAAACATAAAAAATAAATTTTCCGTAAAACTAAATTAAAAACAAATTTAAAACAGTAAAATGTAGATAGTAATATTTGCATACCTTGTATAATAATTTCTATACATTTTTAGAAGTACCAACGGTTTAATAATCTTACCCAGTTAACTTAAGGTTAAAGGGACTGTTAAATATAATCCACTAACTCAATCTATGAAGGTACTCAGAGAAAGCATTAACCAAAATGATAAATCGTTTATAGATTATATCCATGTTCCAGCCTCTAAATTATTAACTAAAACATATGTAGTTCGGATATCTTTATCATGGTCCTGAAAAAAAAAAAAACTCTTTGTTTAAACTCTAGGAATCTTAAATAGTGGGCAATATGAATTGCCAGTCAAAATGAAGTCCCTTTAACGTTTGGAAGCTTCTGAGACCATTTGGGAACAAACCTAATTAAAACTGAACTTCAAGTTGTGTGCATGCTTTATGAGCAGAGGGAACTCTGCTCACCCTGGAGTCTCCATTTGATGATAATGGTACTGTTGCTAGGACTGTTTGATGGAAATGTGCCATGATTTCTCCATTGGTTTGTGTATCATTCCTGAAGCCGCTTTTTACATCTGAAGCTACTTTTCTTTTTTTTTCCATTTTATTTTGTTCTGTTTTGATAGACTTGCTGAAAGCCAATCAGAAAAATATTTTGGAACTTTTTTTTGACTCTGACAAGCTCAATATAAACCATTCGTTTCCTTTCAGTGTGATTGCCGGAAAATAGAATAATTGAAATAACAATGGATTATTGCCTTCCAAAAAATAAACTTTTCTAAAGAATAGCATATAGAGTTGTATGGGCATTATGTGAATTATGAAATTTTTTACAATAAAATTTAAAATTAGGCTTTAGCTCCTACAGATTAGTTTACCTCAGAGGTGATTTTAGGATAACAAATATTTGAAATGTTAGATATATCATACTTTTTAAATTTAGCAATTTAAATTTGAGAGACCAACAATAAGCTCTTGAGGCAAAGGAAAAGGGGATCCATTAAAAACTGATTTGTCATATATATGTTTGATTGGTCTTTTAGCAAAAGCACTACATTTATAATATGTTGAAAATTTATAAGTATTTGCCAGTAATTATGCATTTCATGGACACCTCATTTCTAAGCAATGAATTATGAGTCAAATGCCTCTCTTATAGTTTATTGCTCTCATTATCCACCCCATAAAAGATCTGTTTTTATCATCCTTTGTAGAATGTAGAGTTCACAATCAACATTTTTGCATGTATGTAATATTATTTTTACAGGGCGTCAGCTCACAATCTTCAATAGCCAAGCCACCATAATAATTGGCGGGAAAGAACAGGGCCAGCCCTTCCAGGGCCAGCTCTCTGGGCTTTACTACAATGGCTTGAAAGTTCTGAATATGGCAGCAGAGAATGATGCCAACATCGCCATAGTGGGAAATGTGAGGCTGGTTGGTGAAGTGCCTTCCTCTATGACAACTGAGTCGACAGCCACTGCCATGCAGTCCGAGATGTCCACCTCAATCATGGAGACCACCACAACCCTGGCTACCAGCACAGCGAGAAGAGGAAAGCCCCCCACGAAAGAGCCTGTCAGCCAGGTGAGCATGCATGCCATCCTTTGATTCTGGATCTATACTCACAAAAGTGGCCTTTTCTGCGCGGGTGTCTTTTCCAAACAGGATTTTGTTTCTGATCTTGTGTGCACGCCTCTCTTGGAAACTGTATATGTGGTCCGTCTTCTATGAATATGAGTTGTGTGGGTGTTGTTGAGGAGAAGTCTGTACACACACACACACACACACACACACACACACACACACACACACATACACACACACACACACACACAGGCTCTGTATTGGTTTGGTAGTTACTAGCTCAATTTGACAGCCTTGGTTTAGCACATACTGATGGGGGAGGATCTGCAATTTATGCAGAAACTTTAATTTCAAGGTTAACAAACAAGTAAATTAATGGCATATTTGAAAAGCTTTGTTTATTTAAGCTTAGCCTTTCATCAAAATAAAAGAAGTGAGGTGTGTGGATTTCATGATAAATGATGAGCCTATTTTCTGCTTATGAGGTTGTCTCATTGGGTTGTCTGAGGGCGAAGATGAGGTATACTACCAAAAAACTGTCTTGAATGAAGTTATTTTGTATTATATGTAATGAATTAATGATGTAATTAAACAGAATTCACGTTAACGAGTTTATTTCAAAATTCTGCATCTGCAACTTTTGAAAATAGAATTATTAAATGTGACATTGGTAGAGTTGGTAAGTTTATAAAATCATTGGCAGAATTCCTACTGATCGCCTAGATAATGTGTTGATTTCATTATTGGCATTCCAGCAGAGAGCAGTGATAAAGACTTATTAAATGCCATTGATGCTGTGGAAATGCTGTTAAATTATATGAGATCCTTATTGATATTTGTAGGTTTTGCACATATCCAGTTGTTAATTCTTTCAGAATTTCATGTTTTGTTTTGTTTTTTTTGTTTTTTTTTTTTTTTTTTTTTGTGGTTCAAGATTGGTGGCTTCATTTTGGTTTTAATAATGAATGCCTTTTATAGTTACCATATAATGATTTTTCAAATATATGATCCTTACTTACCTAGGAAACTGTATTTCAAAGGAGAATCTAATGACAATGATTATTTTAAAACCTACTTTGGGATCAGGCGTTTAAAAGAGATTATCAAATTTAGAAAGAAAACACTAGATAGCAAGCTCTGTGTGTGTTAGTACTCTATCATTTTGTTAATATGTGCTTCAAAGGAAAAAAATGTGTGATTTTTTTTACTTTGAATAATACGGAATGATATGAAATGAATAAGAAAGAAAAAAACCTAAGTACTTAATCAGGTGAAGAAGAAAATTGACCAATTGAAATATAAATCCATAATGTGGTACAGTGCTATATTGTATGTTTTAAATAATATAAAGTCATTTTTATGTCATTTGGATTTTCTTCCTTATTTGCATCTGGCTAGTAAGTAAAGAGGGCTGTCTCATATGACACACTCCATTATGTATTTATTGATAACTATCTACATGGACAGAATGTACTCTGGGCATGTGGACATAAGCAAATGTTGCTACCTCATGACATTAATTTTGGTAGGAATATTTACTTTGAAGAGCATTGTGTTGTTAGTTATCTGTACTGTGTTTAGATTGATGATATTTTTGATGATACAGCACTCGGCTCCTTGGATAATGACTTATGACTTTAGACAGACTCATGCCTGGTCATGCTGCTGGGTAGTCTTTACTTGCACTTCATTTAAAAGTTCTTGTTCAGTTGATAGTGACCAACTTGCCAAGGTGAATCTGAAATAGGAAAAATTAAATGTAAAAGAATTAGTAAAATATTTCCTTTTCATAAAAGAGTTCCTGAGAAAGTATTCAAGTGTATTATTTGGGGTTGGAAATGTTTCTGTAAATACATTTAAGGTAGTTCAGTATTTTTATTACTAAGCCTGTATCATTGTTAATTAATTAAGTAGCCAAAATTCCTACATAAACTTGCAGGTGTTTCAAAAGAAGGAACAATGGCAACCATTATTTTAATCTAATTTATCAAATAACATCTGCTGTTTATAACAAAATTTAAATGTGCAGATCACTCTTTGATTTAAAAGACAAATATATAGTCAGCAGCATTTTATAAAATTAATTAATCCGAAGAGAAAAGGCTTAAGTACTTGTTAATTACCAGGGAGGACTCTTTCATGCTATTCCAAGTTCAAGGGCAGGAGTGGTTTCTAGAAGTAAAGAATCTAATTAGTGATTACCTGGCTCATTTGAGGAGATATTGAGTTAAATCAAAAACTACTGTCTTCATTTAAAAGTAGATATTTTAAATCTTTAAAATTTTCACAGAGCAATAACAACAATTAAATAATTTGTATTAATATATTACACACCAACTGTTACTGATATTCAGTGGGAGCAACATCTCATATTTAGAAATATTTTTGAAATACTTTTATAACCACATGTGTATGATTTAAGGTAACAATTAAGCATACACTATGTAGGAAGGAAAATCACTCTGAAAGAAAACAAATGATTTTAGTGATAGGATAATTTGTTTCAATTTTTCATCTCAGAATTTAATTTTGAATTGCCCTATAAATACAAAGACATTACTGATAGATGGATGATATATAGAGAGATGATAGATAAATAGATGATATATAGATATAGTGTTTGATAAAAATTATACAAGTATCTTAAAATTTTAATAATGAGTGATTTGTAATACAAATTCCAACTCTGAAAACTTTGCCTACTTTTGAAAGGTTAGGTGAAACATCTGTCCTTAAACTTTGTCCATAGTGACCACATCTGTTTGCTTTGATCCAGTCCCCCACTAAATTGTGTACCAAAGGGGTCATTCCATTTTTCTAAAGCCACACTGCACTGTTTTTTTCAATCAAAGCGTATTTTCTTCCGTGATAACACTGAGCCACTTATGTGACAATGACAGTGTAGCTAGAGGTAGTGGCATGTTTTAGAACTGTGGGAACAGATTTTTGGTCCACCAGAATTAAATTGGATTCATTTCAAATAGATGATATGACATTTGTTCAGGTATCCTGCAGGGCAAGGAATGGGTGAGAAATGCATTTCAGGTTTCACAGAGTCAGTGAATAGAGGAGTGCTCAGAATATCATCTACAAAACCCCATCTATTCTTACTTATAAGTAGATATGCTTTAAGAGATAAAAAGAGTTTTTTTCTTCTGAGTGATGATAAGTTCTCATATTAGTTTCTTAACCTTATATGATTTAGACTAATAAAATAGTACAGATGACTATGACTTTTTTTAAAAAAAGTATGTAACAGGACAATGTTGATACCTTCTATAGGGGTTGTATAATATTTATGTATTTTGTTTTACTGGAATACTTACATCAAAATATCTCTCACCAACTTTCTGAAAGCCTATTCTCACAAAAGAAAAAAAAATTAGCACAATTCATTCTTAGAACATAGAGAGCCATTTGGTCCTGGAGACTGCCATGCAAAAATTTTACATGCTATTGCTGTGTTCTGTTCAGAATAACTTCTGCATGGATCTTTGTGTAAATGACCAAAAGGAAAACATCCAAGCATCTTAACCTTTTTCTGATTTTTTAATTAACTTATTTATTTATTGCTAATGTGTGATTTCCTTGAAGATTAATATTATGACCTTTTCCCCTGGAATATTACTTGGTATTACTTAAATGTTCTTGGAATATTCATTGGTATTTTCTGTTCTTCCCTTCAAAATTATTTTATAAACTATATGAAGAACAGATAATTTGGAACCTTAGTGATTTTTTTCTTATAGAAAATGTGGTATAATAGAAATAGCATATCAAATCAGAGACTGCTTTTTTTTTTTTTTTTTTTTTTTTTTTTTTTTGGTTTTTTGAGACAGGGTTTCTCTGTGTAGCTTTGTGCCTTTCCTGGATCTCGCTTTGTAGACCAGGCTGGCCTGGAACTCACAAAGATCTGCCTGGCTCTGCCTCCCAAGTGCTGGGATTAAAGGCGTGTGCCACCACCGCCCGGCCAGAGACTGCATTTTATTTTGAACACAAGTAGTCACACTGTCCTGTGATTTGAAAGACTGATTAACCTTCCCTCATGTTGGTGTTTTCAGCACTCTGTAATAAATGAGTCACTAGGAGTCTTTGGAGCTCTTCTCAGTTTTTAATTTTAATTGACTCTAGTCTTGATGTGCTTAATTAGTTCCTCTCATCATTATTTAACAAAGCATGGATTTACCCCTTTCTTTTTGAAAGGACAGCCACACATCCCAGTTGCCACTAAGAACTCCCGTGTTTACCTGTTACTTTATGTAATTAGTAAGAGTAGCTCTTTTTGATTCTCAGAAACTTTTATTTCTGTATGTAAACTGTATTGTACTGTGTTTTTCTCATATATATATATATATATAACTTACCTTGGCAAGAGAATCATACTTCCTAATAGTAAATATTGAACCTGATTCTATATGTGCATAGCTTAAGCTGGCTGTCGTATCTTGACTTGATTTTTAGAATCCATGACCTTTTCATTTTATTTCAAAAATAAAATCTTGAGAAAGTAAAGAAAACAATGCTTTGAGAGATTTTGGGTTGGTTTCTTTTTTGCTGGAGGAGTGTATTTCAAACAATTTAGAAAGTATTACGGATGGAGACAGATTCACTCCATTTGGATAGACTGTCTTGGAGCCGTTCTTAGGTGAGCCGTTCTTAGGCTCCAGGGTGAGTTTTTTCCAGGTGAAGTTAGTACATCTACTCAAGGCAAAGGACTGCTAAGAGCTGAAGTCTTAGTTGTCAGAGAAGTGCGCACTTCACATCTGTCACTGACACTTACCACTCATTCAAGTTCTTATGAAAAGAAAGCCAATTAGTGTTCAAGTGGGGAGAAATGTTTAATGTCTTGCATACTGCTATTGCTTCTGTGAAGCTTCTAGCTATTCATGAAAAATGAATACTATTTGTTTGAAAACTATAAGCACATATTTCCATGAAAAATATCTAGAGTTAACAAAATACATTTTGTAACTCCCAAGAACAAAATTTTATTTTTATTA